GTCATCTTTCACCTCCTTAGTCAAGCTGTGCTCAGATTAAAGCAGATTTAATTTATCTATGTGAGCCTAACTGAAATCATGCAGACGTCAAGTGTGAAATATGACATGAAATAAGCTGTCGAGAGTATGGAAAAACAAACTTGGCCTTAGAAGTTATGAAACAGCTCTCTTTGTCACTGATATCTTCCCACCCAGCCTAGCAGCCAATTCATAAACACTCTTGAAGAACTCTTAAACAATAAATCAATTTCAAGAAGTCTTTGCTAAGATCTTACATGGAGTGGCAAAGATTGTGCAAATGAAAGTGGAAGTGAGGCAGATCCTTTTTTGGTAAGCATTGTAGTTTCTGGTTGCCAACCAAGAGCCCATGTGACACAATAACACCCCAAGTCCATTCCTTCTGTTTTTGGTATATTGTTGGTTTGTAGTGCATACATAATGGAGACCGTGAAATAGTGTTTGAGGAGAGGGACTCTCTAGGAAGAGAACTGCAGAGTCTTCTGACACTATAACAAGGCCTCAAACACAGATACTTCTTGTTATCTTGGTGTCAAAATAAATTTAAAGACCAGTTTTTTCCTCCTTCCGTCTTACCCTTATTCCCTCCATCCTTTAAGTCCTTCATGCCCTCTAACACCTCTTCCTTCTATTATTCCTGCCTTTGATCCATCCTGCTTCCTTTCCTTGTTTTCTCTCCATCCTTCCTACCTTCCTTGCCTTTTTACCTCTGTCATTCATCCTTTCTCTTTCTCTCCTTTACTCCCCCTCACTCCCTTTTTCTCTCTCTTTTTTTCTTTATTTTCTCAATCTTTATGAATTTTCTTTTTTAATCTTTTTTTTTTTGTTTTTAATGTTTTGGCTCGCTACTGCCGATGTTTTTTGTTTTTTGTTTTTTTTTTCATTAAAATTTTTGTGAAAGCGCTTGGACAAAAAAAGATATTATCGTCATCTTGTCACATCCATGAACTAATCTGTACCCCTGTGTCTTATCCGTAGGCATTACCGTAGCCTCTTTATTGAGCTACGGGCCGTGACCGCACAGCCCAGACACTGCACACTCTGCCCATGGCAACTAATACGCCCTGCAGGAAGGATGCTCTGCCTGCTGAGTGTGTTCTCCTTTAGCTCCCAACTCCTGAGGGAAAGTGTTCATATCTAAATCACCGATTGCCTTAGGGTTGACTGAGATTTTGATGTCCAGCCATCTTTCTCTTCCCACCTTTCTGTCTGCTATTACTTAATTTCTCCTCTTTCTCTAATGTCCTCTTTTTTTCTCCCTGACTGTGACCAACGTAGTTCTCCACCTAGTTGGAAGGATAATCCTGCAAATAGCTTTGAAACACATCCCTTTGATACTTCAGCTAGAAAAACTAACATTTAAAAAAATGAATCAGCTTCCTGCGTAGCAGATTAAAATCTTACACCAAAAAAAATAAATCATATAAAATAAGAAACACTCATCAGCTGTAAGAATTTACACATACCGAGCCTCTGCAGCTGTTTTCTTCCATTTCTGTCATCTAAAGTATAATTATGGATCCAAGCACAAAATAACATGGCGACACCTTAATGTAGGTTGGTGCATTGGTTCAGAAATGATCACATTAAGTCAGTGAGTTGGAGTAAGAAAGGGAAAAGCAGAAAGGAAAAATCTTACAGAAGTAATAACACGGCTAGTTTAAAGACGAATCCAGCAAGCAATTTATGTGTCCCTATCTTGGGTAACTGCCATTACTGTGGCTGCAACTGTCTGCTGCTGACTGTCACAGCAGCTCAGATAGATTAAAAACATCAGCTGCTGGTGGAGGTGTCAGGCCATCATGACATTATCATATTTTCTTACTAATAACTAAAATATTGATCTCCGCTACTGAAGATTTTCTCTGTACTCTTTTGACTTTTCATGTAGGCAATGCTTTTGTCATATGCATAATCAAAACAAGTTAACATTTAAGTGACTATAGGAGCAGCTAATGATTTCACAGGCTCGTCCACTTTACACCACTGTGGTCTAAAGTAAAGGAACAATGACAGTAAAGACCAACTCTGGCTTCCAAAGCAGTGTTTCTGTCAGGGTGGGACTGGAACAAAAATAATAACGTGACTTTAAAGTTTGGATTTTAGCAGGTTTACTTGTACTAAGTAAACTATGTTACGCTTTGCTGTGCTGTTACTGTAAGACAGAGTTAGCAGCTAAGGTTCTGTTGTGGTCCACATGGATTAGGGATAGGCCATGAGGATGTTCTGTGTTGACAGTAAATACATAACCTGGGTGGACTTCTCATCAATAAATTTTGATAATCAGTCAGGACTACGCACAGGGTGTTTTTGATTTTATTGTTTTTGGATATACTTGGATTTAACTAGCAGTATGCACCATAACAGCTGTTGTACATTCACACTTTGCACACAAGTCAACATGGTTATTGTTTAGACTAGGGCAACTCAAACCAGCAACCCAACCCATTGGTAATGCTCTGCAGCAGCTAAAACACACGCACATGCATAAGCACCCACGCACACACACCTGTTGTAGGTTTTAACCTAACCTGTGCCGTTTGGTTTTTATTCTAAAGCCCTCTTGCATGTAGGATGACCAATGTTGCCATTTATCATTATTTTTTAGTGAGGTGATATTCCATAAGTCAACATGCCAAACCTATCACTATGAATCTGTTGGTTGAATAATTTCAAAAAGCTTCGCCAGTTCTGCTGTAGCGGAAATGTCTCCTGTTAGGGTTTGTATTTCATCCTCCTTCTACTTGTCTAAATTATTATATCATCTATTTGGACTCAGGCTCTGCTGAGAGACTTGCTGTCGCTCTCTCTTTGTGTCTCTCTCCCTGTGGCAGTGATACTTTGTATCTCTGCCCTCACTAAGGCATAATCAATTTAAGAGTTTGTCTTGGGTCATTATTACCTGCTGGAGGACCATCTGTTCACTGTGGCTGGCTGAACAGCCTGCCATGTAGCCACACACACACACATACACTGACACACACAGAGAGCCTGAAGGGTTGCCAGGCAGATTTGGATGGCTGTAAGATGTGAGATGTTGAATAATTAAACCTCAGAAAGAGCTGAAGGGAAAAAAAAAGTTGGCTGTATGAATGTGTGTCCCCACATCAGTGCGTTTGTGTGTGTGTGCATAAATTAACGGTACACATGTTTATTTATGTGCCGCTTTCTTAATGTGATCCATGTTTGAAACAGTTCGATAAGGTGGCTTGTGGGTGGGAAGCATCAGCATACCTGTGTGTGTGTGTGTGTGTGTGTGTGTGTGTGTGTGTGTGTGTGTGTGTGTGTGTGTGTGTGTGTGTGTGTGTGTGTGTGTGTGTGTGTTGAATACAGATGGTGTTGGCCATCAGGCAGAGTGGTCCAGCTACTGGTTAAGAGGAGCATGGCTGACTGTCAATACACCCACAACCTGAACAACAGCCTGACAGCACCACAGCGAGTGCTGCTGTGAAGGATCACAAATAGTGGTGGATCAAGCACTGGCAGCAGTTTGTCAGCCAAGATGAATGCAGATTTACTGTGGAGTGGTTCAATTAAACAAACTGGGAAACAAGTTTTCTTTGCCTTTCACACTGACTGAGAGGAGTTTTATCAGGTCATAAAACAGCCTGGACAGACAGCCAAAAGATCAGAAGTTTCATTGTGTTCGGACTTCACAGAGATGCTTTGCAGTGAGCTGATAGCTACAAGACAGCAGGATGTGATTTTTGGTCAAGAAACATCATTTATGCATTTTTATCGGTTCGGCGCATGCTCTGCTGCGACGACACAGCCCGGCTCGTCATGTCATGTTCTGTGTTCGTGTCTCCGTGTCTTCTTATGTTAAGTAACTCATGCAGAATGCTGGACCTACAAGGGAGTATTGTTATAACTCTCATAATTGTATGGCTACTTGATGACTGCGGGGCACTACGACCAGGGATTAGCGGCTATGTTCCACTCACCTACAGCCGCGAGGAGCTCCTTTAACTTCCTCACCCTGCCTCCTGAAGCCAGCAGTCAACCAACTACCCAAACTCCGACCGAGAAAATGAGGTAGGAGAGGTGGGGTATACACCAGGCTGAGAAAGCGTCCCTTCAGACCCCCTCTCCCCACCATCGTCCTGGCTAATGTCGGCACCCTCTGAAACAAGATGGACCTGTTGCATGCCAAGTGCCAGTTTGTACGGACCTTCAGGGAGGCATCTATCGTCGCCCTAATGGAAACCTTGCTGGACGGGACCACCACGGACTCTGAGGTCAGTCTCGATGGCTTTCCCACCCTACGGGCTGACAGGATGAGGGAGTCCGGCAAGAACAAGGGCGGTGGAGTCTGCATCTACGTTAACAAGCGGTAGTGTGTTAACATCAAGATTCACCGCACAATCTGCACACCTGACGTAGAATTGTTGACACTGTCCTTACGGCCTTTTTACCTCCCGAATTCCTGTGTGTAACGATCAACTGTATGTTCCCCCAAGTGCTAACATCAGGGCAGCAGCAGAGCAACTAGCCGAGGATGCTAACGCCATGATGGCTAAGTATATAAGTACGCTCCACTGTTCATTGTGGGTGATTTCAACAACTGTAGACTGGACTGTGTTATGCCATCACTGCACCAGTATGTGAACATTCCTACGAGGAAGCACAACACCCTGGATTTATGCTATGGGAATATTCCTGATACATTCGTTGTGCAGGTGCATCCTCCACTCAGCTACTCCGACCACAGGGTTGTTGTTTTGCTTCCACATTACAAGACGGAACTGAAACGCGCCAAGTCCACCGCCCACAGTGCCACCATATGGTCAGAGGATGCAATTACAAAGCTGCAGGGATCTCTTGCTCGTACAGACTAGGATATTTTTCATGGAGACCTGGAGCACAGAGTCTCAGCAATCACCAATTACATAAAATTCTGCATATCATCCACCATACCCACGAGGACATTCAAGAAGTACCCTAACTCCAAACCCTGGATTACATCTCACATCAAAATCAGCATGAAAGAAAGACTGGTAGCCTTCCAGTGTCAGGACTGGAACACTGTCAACACACTCAACAGACAGATCAAAAACGACATAACAAAGGCCAAACTCAGGTACAAAGACAGGATTGAACAGGAATTCAGCAGTATAAACACCAGACAGGCTTACCAGAAAATCAAGACCCTCACTGGTCAAGCACCCAGCTTAGGACACAAGATATCAACCAACGCCGCCACTTTCGCTGACTCCCTGAACTCCTTTTACACCCGCTTTGATACCGCTGACCACTCTGCCCTCTGCGATGAGCTGCTCAGTGCCTTGCCCCCAGACGCTCCATCTCAGCCTCCATTTTCTGTGGAAGATGTACGCCTGCAGCTGAGCTGGTGTAAAGTTGGTAACATAACATAACATCCCAGCCAGGGTGCTGAAGCTGTGTGCTATGGAATTATCCCCAATCCTGCATTCCATCTTCTGGGACTCCATCAGGCTGACACACATCCCCACAGCGTGGAAAACATCATCCCGGTTCCCAAGAAACCATGTCCATCCGAGCCAAACCACTACAGACCGATTGCACTCACCTCCATCATGATGAACTGCTTAGAAAAGCTCATCCTCCACTCCATCCTTCCAGTTGTCCATAACTTCTTACCACCAGTCTGTCACCCACTTCACCAAGTGGTGCTCTGACAACTTTCTGGAGCTGAATGTGAACAAGACAAAACAACTACTCATACACACACAATCACACACCCTGGACCTGGCACGCACTACCATAGACAAGAAAGCAGTCGAACGTGTTGATCACTTCAAATATCTTGGACTCACACTTGACAATAAACTCACTTTCGAACAACATGTCACCGATATCCATAAACGTTCCCAGCAAAGACTCCACACCCTCCGCAAGCTCTGTTCCCTGTCTGTCAAACCAAAACTTCTCCTACTGTTATACACCAGCATCATTCAACCCATACTTCTGTACTGCTACCCCTGTTACTTTAACATGCTGTCATCACTAACAGAAATAAACTCACCAAGGTCACCCACACAGCATCCAAAATCATCAGCCTGCCCATCACAGACCTCTCACACCTCAACATAACAATATCTCCATCACACGCATGGCCCGGACTATCAGTACAGACTCAGACCACCCTCTCCACAGTCACTTCTGCCTGCTGCCCTCAGACCAAAGGTTCAGGACTCTGAGGTGGAGGCGGGCACGCTTCAGTAAGGGCTTTGTCCCTTCCGCAATCGCTGCCCTGAATAGTTTGCAGAGACCATCCATTGCCTAATCTGCATGTGTGTTGTCCAGTGTGCCATGTCCTTATCGTTAATACTGTGATGTCCTGTATGCCCCACTGTTCCTTATTATGTAATGTGCCTTGTTGTTCTTAAGTCTATCTGTCCATGCCAGTGTGTGTGAAAAAGAATTTCCCCCCGGGGACATTAAAGGTCTGTCTGTCTGTCTGACTTTACGTTTTTGTTTTTTCACCATCAGTCTGGCAGTGGGCCCCTTCTTAGCCGTGGGCCACAACAGTTACACCCCTTAGAGGTCTTTGAATAGACACAATGACACACGTAGTGTCATGTTAATGACATGTAGAGTGAACAATGCATGTAACTGTAACTCATTTTATGTCTATGCACCTATCTAAGCACCTGTTCTTAGTGTTTTTTATTTCTTTATGACATCCCTGTATACCCACCCTCTTGCCCTTGTCAACACATCCCCACTCATTTATCAAGGAAGAAGGAAGGTGACACTGTTTATGTTAGTGTGTGTATGTATGTGTTGGCACATGTTTGATGGGATAGCAGCAGGTGATAATGAGTGATGTGCATTCAGCAGGATGGTTTGGGCTATATTTAGAGTAAGGTGTGTGTGTGTGTGTGTGTGTGTGTGTGTGTGTGTGTGTGTGTGTGCGTGCGTGCGTGCGTGATTTTTGTGACCTGCATTTCAGAGACAGTATGACCTCAAATGAGGTATAACTTTGTCACATGTGACTTACAGGAACAAAAAACCCCTACTGTTACTAATATCCAACCGAAAGATTGTACCACTAAGTGTATAGTGGAGGATAGAGCTGTAAAAGCTGAGTGATGGTAAAGGTGATGATGTGCAGTGCCAGTACTGCAAAAAAAATTAAACGTACAAGATGTTCTTTGCAAGTATTGTTTTAATAGGAAAATGCACATTACTTAGCATTTAAGCAGCATGCATGAGATGCAGAGTAAAGAATAAAGCACGATGGCTATTTTAAATCTGTGTGTTCATAGATCTTTTGAGCACGCTTTGCTATACATGGCTTACTTGTGCAATTGAGTTACTAGAAAAGTTGAATCTAATGATGCTTTCGGAATTTTTGCTCATGTTAGGAATGGAAGCACAGTTAAAGCTAAAACCCACAGGATCCATTTTGAGCACGTTCTGTCAGCATCGTGTCTCTGCTCTGTTAGGAAACGCTTTTTATTGCCTACTGGATGCGTATTTGGAGTGTGGCAGCAGCGTAGCGCAGCCCTGGTCAGCTTGGCTCAGTTTAGCGGAAACAACATGTTCACAACAGGTTGTTTTGCCTTTCTGTGGTTTATTTCCTGCTAATTTGGATATAATTGAGTGACTGTTGAGCTTCTACTATATGTGAAAAAGCAACATGATTTTACAGTTTCGGTTTTTGTAGGTTTACACATGTTTAATAAAGTAAACTATGTTCCTTTATGCCGTGCTATTACCTTCAGACAGAGTTAGTATTTAAAAGTCCTGTTGGGGTCCACATGGACCAGGGATTGACCATTGGATTGTTCTGTGTTACTGATAAATCTGAACCAGAAAGTATTTCTTGTCTACACAAACTGATGCACAGTCGAGAGTTTGCATAGGGTGTTTTTTTTTTTTTTAATTTACTGGATGACATGCACATTTTCCATGCTTGAGATCCTGTCTAGAACAATCGACTCTGTGCAGATTGATGTGTGTTGGAAGCATAGAGCAGGGAAAATAGACTCAGCGCATATCACTAGTAGAGCAGCACTGGATGCACACTGGATCCTGTGTGCGATGCTTCATTGATTAGAATGGGAACCTATTTGCTGCATGACACTTTCTGACCAAATCACTCACCTTTGTCTTATTTCTGTAATGCAAACCCATCATAGTTTTTGTTAACCAAAACTAAAGAAGAACAATTCAGGTAACTTTTAGTCAATGACAAGTAATTATGATTTAGTTATTAGTTTCATTACAGTTAAAATATTTCAACTAGTTCACTTAGTCAGTCAGAAAGCAGTATTGGGCATGCACCAAGTGTTTAAATCTGTGACATTTCACCCTTTCAATGCTTTTACATGTATGCTATCTGGACTCCTTACCTTACTTCATAATTGAGTTTAGACTTTTTAATTAAGGCAAAGTTGCTGTGCTGTCCCCACTGATTGACTGAAGTAAGATTTTTTTGTTTTGTTTTGTTTGTTTTTTGTGCAATGACTACATGAGTTCTTAATGAAGATGCAAGCCTGCTGCATTTTGTCACTTTAACTGCAATGGAGGCGCGCTGAACAGATTCAGTTTTTGTGCTCTGAGCTGCATCTGTCAGGGATGTGGATGTAGGACCCAAGTGCAGCACAACGGCAGGTAGTTGTTTTGAAGCTACTTTTATTGCAATAGTTCACAGCAAACAGGTAACTGAAGATACTGGGATTGATTTAGCAGTCTCTGTAGAATCTCCAAGATCAACAGGAAACAGATCCACAGGAAACAGGTCCAACAGGCAGAAAGGTGAGTGCACACAGAAAACACACTACACCTGAGAGTCTTTGTGAAGTGCAGCGGCACTGTCGAGGGGCAGGCTGGGCTCGTGGTCGAAGCGGAGGCAATGTCGAATCCAGGCAGACAATCAGCGGGGCAGACTAAATCCAAAGGGATCAGACGGAAGGATAGTCGTGGACAGGCAGTAGGTCGGGAAGCCAGCAACACAGCAAAACCTGAAGTTCTCACCAGAGCGAAGAAACTCGACAGGGGATCCAAGGGCTAAGACGATAAGACGTGGTCAGAGACAGGCAGGAGTCGAAACCGAGAAGTCAATCCAAGAAATAATGCTGGAGAGTCGTGCATGCTGCGAAGACAATCTGGCACTGAATGAGGGACACAGACTGACTTAAATGCTGGCTGGCTAATCAGCAGTGAGGAGCTGCAGCTTGTCATTCACAGGTGTGGGGAATCTGTGCTGATGAGGAGGTGTGGCAGGGAGGTGAGTGAGAGTCAGCCTGAGCCACACAGCAGAGTGTGACAGCATCTTCATCCTCTATCATAAACAGTTGGTCCTAGCCACTACAGCACACTTGTTGCAAAGTGGTGACTTGGATCCCTCATCTAACCCAGTTTGTTAAATTAATGCATTGCTCTAATGTTGAATGACACACCAAAGGTAGAGCGGATTATTTCAGATTTTAGATGTGTGACATGCACCACCACATTCGAGACTGGTCTCATCTTGTATAAAGAAATGGAAAACTGCCTTCAGATTCTCCATGTGCTTTTGCTGTCTGCTGTCTGCAGCCTCGCTCGTACCTTATTCTTTGGCCTTATTGTTCTACTCAGCCAATGACTGCTGTTGTTTCGAAAAATATATGAATTATCAAAACGATTTCACGGGCCAGATTTCATGTTTGGCAGGCTTGATTTGGCCCATGGGTCGCGAGTCGCCGGCCCCGGGAATGGAGTATAAAACTGGAAATGTTTTATGAAGGGGGAAATGACATGGGGCAAAGAGCTGTGGGCTGGTATCAAACCAGGGCCGCCTGCCTAAGGTCTGAACCAATTTTTAAGAACATCTCAGTCCCCACAGGTAACAACAAATGATGATTCAACAGTTTAGGTCCTATAGTAAGGTGGGGGAAAATCTGGTAAAATTCACTTTCAAAGGCTTCATTTGAAGACTTAATACCTTGCACTGGTACAAGGCTGTCCAATTTCAGGGGCTCCTTGAATTGCAGCTGACAATTGATTAATACTTTTCCTGGGTTTTGAAGGCTGCATCAGGTGCATCCTTCGCAGCTCCATTTATCCCCTTTGAATGCAGTTGAGATAGTATATGGTGACCAAATGTCTTGTTTTCCCAGGACATGTCTTGTTTTTATGTCCTGGCTGTTTTTTATGAAGTGATGAAAATGTCCTAGTTTTCATTGTTTTTTATTGGGCCACTAGGATAAAGAAATAGTATCTCATCACCGGGCCGAGTCCTGGATTTCGGGTAATCAAAATATTGTCACCCAAGATAGTGGACTCTAAAATTGCTGAGTAATTCATTGTTTCACAACAGTATTTGGTTTTAACCATAGACTGTATACACTATGGACAACCT